TTTGTGCTTTGTCAAGGTGTTTGTATTTACTACATCCAAAGTGGATCCTTTTTGGTATTGTTTGGCAGCCTGTTTATTTCTTGCAGAATGTTAATCGTATTACCAAATTGTTTGCTTTATATTTTACCATCCCTCCAGGTAGATTTTTAATTACACGATAATTTAGACTTTTATATTGGGTGGAATAGATGTTTATTATTTATTGGATGAATACATACCGTTTATACGTTCAACAGGCATTAGATATATTTTGTGTTTGTATTGCCTGTGCTTATATATTAATTTCAGACAGCACTTAGGCCTAGGCTATACTATTTATTCATTATGTGCACACATTATGCCAGAATATTATGCAGGACCTCAAAGAGTACAAAGATGAAAAGATAAGAGTTCTCTTCTTTGAAGTGCTCACAAACCTGTGAAGGAAACAATTGTGTTACCACCTATCATAATGGAAAGAATCATAAGGTACCAAAGAAACTCCGAGTAAGTCTGCCAAAGGAGGACTGAAAGAACTAACTTTTCTGAGACAACAGTGAACAGAAATCTGGAGAAAGTGGATAGAGTCCCCAGGCAGGGGAAATAGATGTGCAAAAGCTTGGAAGTGTTAAAATTATAAGTCGTTTTGCTGAGTGTTCTGGGCTGTAGATTGTATGGGGGGAAATACCCAAAGCAGTGGTGGTAAACCTATAGGACACTTGTTAATTGTAATTGTGCTTTTCTTTTAAGACAAAAGATAATGTAGAGCTGTTTTTTTCTAAACTGTTTAATTGCATTGTTGCCATTTTGTGATAGGTAAATAGGTTTTGAGTTGCATTTGGCACTGTCTCTAAAAGTTCGCCATTGTTGATCTGGAAAGTAGTTTGCAAGGCTGAAAAGTTTAAATGTTGTCCTTGAAATACCCCCATAAGAAGGAAAACACTATCATTCTTTTTTTCAGGTGAGGAAACAGATTCAGATTCTTTTAGAGTGAGTGGCAGGGCTGGTATTAGAATTTAGCTCTGATTCCCTACCTGCATGTTCCCCTGCAGCATTGGCATTTATTAGCCTTGTTAGGACAAGTTCTGGAGATGATGTGATATTGGAGGTCCTACAAGTGAAGTGAGCAGAGAGGGACACAGGACTTGCTTCCTGGCAATTAAGTCTTCTCTCTTCTGTCCTGGACTTTAGATCCAGCAGTTCCTCCGACTAGCTCAGCGGGGGACAGAGGAAAAGGAGAGAGAGAAAGCTCTGGTCACCCTTCGTCGAGGCTTGCAGCACCTTGAGACACAGCAAACCTTCATCCGGTCAGTGTGAGTGGTCACCCGGAGTTCTGAGGGGACAGAAGAGGGTAAAGGGACTGAATCACAGGCTTATCAGGACTCTGGTGTTCACTCATGTAGGCTTGAGGGCAGCATGCGGACCCTGGTTGGGCTTCTGACCTGCAACCGAGCCCTGTTGCAGCTTGAGGCAGCTCGGTGCCTTCATGAACTCTCTCATTCTGAGCAGTCTGCTGTGGCTGAAGCCTGCCTACCAGCTACTTCTTACCTCCTCACCTACCTCTGCGGTCACAGTTCAGACTTCATAGTAAGCCCTGTCCCTACCACCTTGTTCTGGGCTTAGATTTAAAAATAGTGTTCTTGGTTCAGTTTGAGTTGACAGATAGGCAGAATAAAAAATAAAAAAGCATTCCTGATCCCCACAGTAGTGGATATACCTTTCAACACTGTTTTGTGAGCTTTAAGATCTGACATGAGGTGAGCCCAGCCCAATGCCATTCTTGCCTGCTCTCAGGAGCTGTGTCTATATACACTGGGGAACCTGATTGTGGAGAGTGGGGCTGTGAGGAGACAGCTGCTGCCACAGGGCATTATTCCAGCCTTGGCCTCCTGCATCCAGGTAAGTGCTTCCTTTCCGTCTCCTGGGAAAACCTCCCTTTGCTCCTCCCTTCATGCCCCACTGGCTTTGAGTAGGTAGCTCCCAGCTCTATACCAGCAGGCTAAAAGTCTCAAGTGACCGTGTGATCCGACTTCCAAAGTCAGAATGCTACCCTGTCTACTTCTAGTCACCACATGTGGCTGTGCTGGAAGCTGTTGGATACGCTCTGTCCCAGCTTCTGCAGGCTAAGGAAGCTCCAGAGGAGATCATTCCGTAAGTAAAATTATGTCTCTAGATATTCAGCCAGGATCAACCCTCTTGGTAGTATAGTGTGATCAGCTCTGATTTCCAAAGCTATTGCACATTTTAGCCCTGTTTCTGTTGACAGCTCTATCCTGAACTCCACCATGCCACAGCACATGCTGCAGTTGATGCAGCCAGGCCCAAAGCTGAACCCTGGGGTTGCTGTGGAGTTCGCATGGTGCCTTCACTACATCATCTGCAGGTAACACAGGCTATTTGAGAAAATGCTGGAGATCTTTCCTAATGTGTTATCTTAGGTCTTTAAACACCAGTTTTTATACTCTGTGGTATGTCCCTTCACTGCCCTGCAGCGCATTCCCCCCCCCCCCCCCATGCCCAGAATGAGACTGTTTCCCAGCCTAAAGGTATTGACTACTTGTGTCCTATTGCCCAGCCAGGTCAACAATACCCTGCTTATCACCCATGGAGCTCTGTCTACTCTAGGGCTGCTGCTATTGGACTTGGCTGAGGTTGTCCAGAGAACAGAGGATGCAGGACTAGAGCTGGTAGGTGAAAAGGACGGGTCATGGTCTGGGAGATACTTCTTTATTCTCTGCCCTTCTGGTGTTCAGTAACGTTTCTTCTTTACACCTGACCCTCGATTTGTCTTTGCAGCTTGCATGCCCTGTGATTCGGTGTCTAAGTAACTTGCTAACAGAGGTGGCAGTAGAGGATGTAGGAGGGCAAATGCAGCTCCAAGATGAACGTGTTGTGGCAGCCTTGTTTATCCTACTTGAGTTCTTCCTTCAGAAACAGCCCCGCCTGCTTCCTGAGGGCCTCTGGCTCCTCAATAATCTCACTGGTATGTACCACAGTCTGTCTATTCAGATCTGGCCCTTCATTTTAATATCATCAAAATATTAAAACCAAAGCATGAGGGAATAAAGCAGTTAAAAAACTAAAATGCAAAATGAAAGGTGGGTAGGTGGGGGACTTTTCAGTATCTCTGGAGGGGTCTATGTAGTCTGGATTTAAGGAGGTCCTTCACCTACCTCTCTTTAACCCTCAGTGGAGGCCTTCCTGTCCTGGCTTATTCAGCGTCCTGGTGGTAGCTAGCACCCCACAGCTGGAAACTCTTGGAGACAGAAGTGTAAATGAAACTTTTCCACTGGGGCTGGAGCAGGGCCAGGGGAAGGGGGCTCCAGAGCTGCTGAAACAGAGTGGGTATCTCAGGAAACTAGCCCCCTTTAGCCCCTGTCAGAAATCTAGGGAGGTCCAGTCCTCAGCCACAGTTAAAGAGGTCTCTGACACTCTTGTCTTCCTGAAGACAGGTGGTAATGAAGGGCTTCATGATGTGGATGGGAGGAAAGTGAAGGATGGTGAAGAATTCAGAGAGGCACATGCTCTAGGAGTAGCCATCAGTGGAGATAGGCATTTTTTGTCCACAGGACCTGCAGACCAACCATCTGGAAAACTGGTTTCTTTAGGCTGGCTCAGACCTTTAACTATAAGGGATGCTTACACATGAGCTAGGCTGAGTTGGGTAGCATTGGGTGAAACAGTTCATGCCCTAGTATAAAGTACTGCATACTGACATTTTCCCTTCCAGCAAACAGTCCTACTTCATGTACTTCTCTGCTCTCCTTGGACCTGGTTGAACCCCTCTTGCAGCTGTTGTCACTGTCAAATGTGGTGAGCATACTGGTATGTATTAGGGTGATGAGTCCAAGACTCGCTTGTTAAAGAGTAAACAAAAAGTCCTCAGTTCTCAGAAGTGGTAAAGCTGACACTGTTATTGAAAGCTGACAAGTGGTATGTTATGACTTGAGATCTAGGCCAATCTAGGTATAATTTCCTAAACTGGATTACTACTTTCCTTATACAAATCAATCAGTCAGCCTCTCCACATATAATTGGGGCTAAAGTACCTGAGTTAGTTGCAGGGATTAAAGGATGTGCTTACCAGTTTGGGATAGTGTGTATGTGCCCAATACCATATATCATCTTTGTTATTCCTCCTCTGAGGGATTGTATACCTTTCTCTGCAGGTGCTCACAGTTCTGTGCAATGTTGCAGAGAAGGGTCCGGCTTACTGTCAGCGGCTGTGGCCAGGGCCACTGCTCCCCTGTCTGCTAAATACAGTGACCTTCTCAGACACTGAGGTAGTAGGTCAGAGCTTGGAGCTGCTGCAGCTGCTATTCTTCTATCAGCCAGAGGTGGGTTTCTGCCCCTGGCCTTTCATTTCTCTGTTCAGAAGTCTCTACTGTCACTATGGCCTCCTAGTCCCATCTATGGATGTTTCTTCAGGTGGGGTTGGCTTGGTGTGGGCTATAGATTATAACCTGTGTCTTGTTGGGAATGAACCCTCTTCCAGGAGCTCACCAAAAAGCGGGTTAATCCATGAGGCTAGGATTGAGTCTTAGGGCATGGGAACCCAGGTGTTGGGTCTTTTTCTTCCCCTAGGCTGCCCAGGCCTTCCTGCAGCAATCTGGCCTGCAGGCCTTGGAAAGGCATCAGGAGGAAGTCCAGCTTCAGGATCGAGTGCATGCTCTCCAGCAGATAGCTCTTCATAGCTGACCTGGCTTTTTAATGTTACATACTCCCCACACTCTCACCAGTCACTTGTTTGCTCATTTTTTTTCAGGAGGATTAGGATCGTTATGAACTCTTTCTTCTCCCACACTTTAGCTACTCTTTTTCCCACATTGTTTAAACAGGGACACCCGGGGGAATGATACAATCTTTATTCTGGGGCCCCGGTTCTCTCACTACAACCCTTACCCCTGCTCAACTGGTGGCTTCTGATGAGAAAGAATAAAGTTTTATTTTTATATTACACTGTTTTGCCTCTGGTTGTAAAATAAGGGGTAGAAGTAAAACAATTGAAAGAACACTCTAAATCAGTATTTTACAGCACAAGCTTTATAAGAGAACACATTTTCCCACTGTACTGTCCTGCAGAGCCCAGGTTCAGGGGCTCTTGGTCATAATCCTCAGTGAAGGCTTCAAGCTTTGCCACTTAGCACATTTTCCAGGGCTCTGGTGACTTGATCAGCACTGAAGTTGTTTAAGGAGACATTCTTTTCTTGGCCAAATGCTGAAGAGACAGAAAGATTACTAAATAAGTACTCTGCATCATGGGACTACCAGATGGTTTTATCTGTTTTTATTTTTTGAAAAAGGGTTATAAATTCACTATGTAGCCAGGGCTATCCTCAAATTCCTGAATGCTGGGATTATAGGTGGATATCACTGTACCTCATTTGGGGCTACCAAATTACAAGTCTTGTTAGGATGCGAAAGACAGTAAAGAGATTATAATCAAAGTGAATTTGGTATGTGTAAAATTAATCCAGGGGGTTTCAAAATACACCTACATCCAACAAGAATTTTGACGTGTTTCAAGGAATTTTGACGTTTCAAGAGTCATTGTAAGCATTTATTACTAACCATGGCAGCCAGTGTATAATATATATGAGCCTAGCCTTGGCTAGATTTTCATTCTTAGGGCTTCTACAATCAATAGACTGAAGTTACTTGTATCTCCTCTTACTGTCTACTAGCTTTAAGGGCGAGAACCTTTCCTCATTGTATTAGTGTACAGATGTCCATAGTTACACCCAACTTGCCTTAGGTGTAACTTTCTCCTACCCCCAAACATTCTGAGGGTAGAGTGTAACGAAAAACAAAATTCTACTACATGTTAGGCAGCATTGGGAATTTAAGATTGGGATATGGTGGAATATAATAGAGGGTAATGAAAAGGGACTGACAATATTACATTACTGGGCAGGGATTGTCTTTTTGAAGTGATGTATTTAGACACAAATGACAACAAACTTAGTAATAAGAGTCAGCTGTGAAAGTCTGGAGGTGCATTTTAAGGGACCAAATGTAAAGGCTCAATCCTATCATTACATTAGCTGCATAAGTATGTTTCATAACGTTCTATTTTTCTAATCTATACAGGAAAAATTAATCCACCCCTCATGTTTAGTCAGGATTAAGTGAGATTTAGGGAACAAATTACTGCTCATTATTGAGATTCTCAGTACCTACATCTGCACTGGCCACAGGTAATTTGAAAGGACTGACAGCAATTGGATAGCATTTTTTTTCTTTTTTTCTTAAGCTCTTTTATTTTGTTCGTTGTTTTTGAAACAAGGTCTTGTAGTTCAGGAAGGCCTTTGACTCACAGAAATCCTCTGGCCTCAGCCTCCCGAATGTGCCTGGCTCTTGAAGCCAATTCTGACCTGAAAATCTCTCTGGTACCTAAGTAGATCCTAACCAAAGCCTACACAAATGTTATCCAACATACAAAGCATCACGGCCGCGAATGTGAACTTTTCAGCGGAAACAACCTGGTTTAAATCCGAGCTTAGTCTCTCCACATATTTTCGTGTGACCTTGGACTGCGCTTTCTCCTAGACCCCGATTGCCCCGCACTCACCATAGCGGGCCCACAGTTTGGGCTGAACATCAGAACATTCCCGGATTAGAATGGGAAGGTCAGGGTTCGCCTTCTTCAGCTCCACGTAGCGTTTCTGGATAAAGTCCCTGCGGAACCAGATAGAGCCCTGCGCTACGGTAGACGCGGACTTCCCCAAACATCGGAAGGTCGAAGTCTCGACCTCAGCCTCCCGAACCCCGATCCCTCCCCCACACCTTACCTGACGCCCTGGCTGCCAGGCGAGCGCTGGCACAAGTGGATGCGAATCTCACGCAGGCCCAGCTTTGCCCCAACTACCCTACTAGCTGCGGCTGCCGCCATCGCCGCTCAGACCTTAAACCCCAGTCAAATTCTTCAGCTGGACCAATAGTGGATTGGATGACTTGGTGGGGCGGGACACAGTCTAGCCAATGACACGAAAGCATTCTAGCAGGCTGGGACCCAAGCGAGAGGGAGGAAGCGGAGGCTCGGAACGCAAAGCACTGTGGTTGGTTTTCGAGGTGCACTGTGGGAAAAAAGCGTCGCCGTCGTTTTCTTGTTAGAGATTTGGTACTTGCTGGTGTTGAGAGACTGAGACAAAATGCCGGAGCGAGATAGTAAGTGTTGGCTAATTTGTTCTTTTTTCTCTGCGGGATTAGGGACATCTGGCGTGTTATTTTGACCGCCAAACTTAACCGGTGTCCTGTAACGCTCGCAGCCGGGCGAAGCCTTCTGGCCCTCACAGGCCAGACTGCTGTAGACTCCCCGAGCCTCGTCCCCGTCCCACAGGACTACGACCGTCTTTATCGCCACCTTTACTTAACTAATGTGTTGCTCCGGTTCATTTATTACTTTATCTTGTTTTGAGACGTGGGTCTTCCACTGTTGCCCAAGTTGGCCTAGAATTCGCCCTCCGCCTCTTCACTCTTTTGAGTAGTTGATATTACAGGCGTGCACACTGCCAGCTCTTTCATATAGCATTTTTAGATGTCATCTTCAACAACCTTTGCTAACCTTCCAGCTCAGTTTGAAGAAACCATTCTGTGCCGTCCTAGCTTCTTACATTTTCCCACTTAAGCAATTAATACGTTTTATTTTTTGTTTCGTTCTGTTTTTACTATTTGAGACAGGATCTCCTGTGTTTAAAACTGATCGTGAACTCTTTATGTAGCCCAGACTGACTTCTAACTCAGCGATCTTCCTGCCTCACCCTCCCAAGTGCAGGGTTTGTGGGTGTGCCAGGTGTGGCATTATAACCGTGTATTGTCACTGCAGCTTATTTTGGCTTTCTTTTGTACTGTTTGCTGCTGTAATCCTCAGTTTTTCCAGAGGACCAGACACTAAGATTAATAACATGAACGGTGATTTTGTTTTCTTAGGTGAGCCGTTCTCCAATCCTTTGGCTCCAGATGGCCACGATGTGGATGATCCTCACTCCTTCCATCAGTAAGTATTTGTTTTAGGATTATGAAAGTGAGAAGAACAATGAATAGGAGTGGTGGTGATGCTAGTAGTGAAAGAATTCTGAATATCTTGTTAACAAGGAGGGTCAAGAGATTGTATTGCAAGCAGGCAGTCGTGAGTTTGATCCCTGGTACCAATAAAAACGAAAAAGACAAAAAAAAAAAAAAAAAAAAGAGAGAGAGAGAGAGATTGTATTGCTTGACCTATTCTGTGAACCTTAAGTGGTTTAAGGCCTCCCACATACAAATATTAGAGGAGAAATTCTAACAAAGAAAGTGCTTGTTCTTTAATCTGTTTACAGCGTATTATATGGAAATTAGCTTTTCTTGAACAAAATTAAAATATTTGAAAAAAGAGTAAGGTCTTTGTTAATCTTCCCAATTCCAGTTTGTTTCTTAGCAGTAAGCACAGTTCCTTTTTTTAAATGTATATCTTTTTCTCCTAGTCTTAAAACAGTTATGTGCACACATAGTTATCTGAGGAAAATATAGCTTTTAAATCTTTGCAAGTAAAAATATTTAAATGATGTTATACAATATATACCATTTTTTAAACCCCACTGAATGTCTTGGAGATTTTTTTCATGACAATGACAAAGACTTGCTTCTTTTTTTTTTTTTTTTTTTTGGTCTTCTTGAGACAGCGTCTCATTATGCAGTTTAGGCTGGCCTGGAGCTCACTTTGTAGTCCAGGCTGGTCTTGAACTTGCAATGATTCTCCTGTCTCAGCTTCTGATGCTGGGATTACAGGTGTACACCACCAGTCCCAGAAAAGACTCCCTTCTTGACCACACATGTCAGGTTCCAAGAATGAACCTATCTATCTATCTATCTATCTATTTATATTTTTTGGTACTGGGAATCAAACTCATGACTGCACGCTTGCACGGCACAGGTACTTACGCTGCTGAGCTATATTTCCACCCCTCAAGAACATATTTTTGACTAGGCTTTGTCCTTGACTTGCTAAGCCCAGTTAGAGCAGTATTAACTCTTCTCAGTACATACATAGTTGTGTTTCTCTCTCCCTTTTTTTTTTATTTAAAGAAAAGGAAACAAAAAAATACATGGAGATAAAAAAGGGTAGAAATAATACAAAATTACAGAAAAACAAACGGTAAGAAATTGCTGGTTGATAAGTTACATATTGTCATCTTAGAAATAGCTGTTCAGGGGGCTGGGGATTTAGCTCAGCGGCATAAGCACCTGCCTTGCAAGCAGGCGGTCGTGAGTTCGATCCCCGGTACCCATAAAAAGAGAAAAAGAAAAAAAAAAATTGAAAAAAAGAAATAGCTGTTCAGGTTACAAAATTATTTAGAATGACATTCAAAAAGTGACACTACAAACAGTTCTGCTCAATGATCGAACAAAAACTCAGTAATATGGTTATCAGTCCTACATACTTGTTTTACATCTCAAAGAGAGTAAGATTAAACATATCAAAACGGAACAAAACAGTTAAAAAAACAATTTAAAGAAATACAGATTTCAAAGCAAGTCCACTGGAGATCTTCACTGTCTATCTAACTGTCTCTAGTTTCTTACAAATAGTTGTCCCCATCTTCACCCACTTTATATACTTATTGCATATTATAGAACTAATCAAATCATTACAGGATGATGAATGCTTTTTAGGTCTTCAAGATCCAACATTAGGGAAGACAATAATAACTACCATCGCATTTCTCATTCTCTTCGTGGTAGCCGTCCCCATCTCTACATATGCTGAAATTGAACTCAAGAGACCAGACCAATGTCATTCTAATCAGCGAACAATAGTATTGCTAGAATTTATATCATAATGCTACAAAATTAGCATTGGGTTTCTTAGCGTCTCTTCTTCAGAGTATCTGTTCATTACATCTTGCATTATATAATGTGTTTCTCTTTTGTAATTTTCCATAAATCTTTACTTATTTATGTTGTATTGGAGTTAAATTCAATCTCTTTTATTGAAATAATGTTGACTCCTATGACAGTCATTTTCAATAAAGTCTTTCTTAGCTGTCAAAGATGGGAGAAGGGTACAGAGAGCTTGGGGAACAGAAAACAGGGAATTGTTGATAAATTAACAGGGTTCTTCCTTTAAGACTAGGGTCAGTAGGCCAAGGAAGAGCCCTATTATGAAGGACTTGAAGAAGTCTGATTTTATCAAGGAGTAAGTCGTTGTACTAATTAAAAATTTCCTTGTACCATCAGTGCTATCTACCCCACACTTGGGAAATACCATCAGTTTGTGGTTTTGTTTGGTTTTGTTTAGGTACCAAGAATCAAACTCACAACTTCACACTTGCCAGGCTGGTTCTTACAACACTGAGCTGAACCCCAGCCCATCAGTTTGTTTATTAAATCTCCAGTTAAGGGGCATTTAGGTTCTTACTACTTTTTATTATTTTCAAAAAGGCTACAACTAAATCTCTTTTACAAGTCTTATATATGTGATAGTAATTGGCTGACCTAAATGTAGATTAAAGGAGTTCCTGATTCACATAATATATACACTTAAATTTTAAGAAATACTGCCAAGTTTTCTTCCAAATTAGTTTTACTGATTTACTTTGTATTTCTCTGGTTTCAATTATAAATCTATGGTTTTTACATGTTCTTGTTTCATTTCCTGTTGGGTACTAATTTTTAAAATCTTTGTCTTTTCTTCTAGATCCAAACTTACAAATGAAGACTTTAGAAAACTTCTCATGACTCCAAGGGCTGCACCTACTTCTGCACCACCTTCTAAGTCACGTCATCATGAGTAAGTTGGCCCAGTCTGTTTTCTCTTTTGTTCCTGTCTGTCCCTTTTTACTGAACCAGAGTATCTTAGAATTTGAAAGTCCTTTTTTTCAATCCTGTGTTTTTGATTTCCTCCCTGTGAAGACTGATGTTCCAATTAGATAATTCATGTTCTTATTGTTTCCTGTTGTGCGTTCCACGCTTAGAGTTGCTGCTGGTGCTAATGAACAGAGTTTTGGGCCTGTTACAACCCCATGTGGAATGAATACTTAAGGCTATTTAATTTAATAGTCCCTTAATGTATATTTATGGTTTTAGAATTTGAGAACTGATCACTTAAAAATACTGATGTTTATTTCTGCCAGATTGAAACTTGCTTTGGTCAGTATTATATACCTTTGTTTTTTTAATTCTTGTGGCTGCTTCTTGGAGTTTTCAAGGTTGGGGCAAAGTTGTACTGTCAGTGATTTTCTTGTCTCTTATAGGATGCCAAGAGAGTACAATGAGGATGAAGACCCAGCTGCACGAAGGAGGAAAAAGAAAAGGTGGAACAAGAGTGAAGGGGTGTTGGGTTTTAAGACAGATAGTGTTAGAGGAAGGGAGTAGAAGCTGAGATTTTCATTTGTTATCTTGACATTTTCTGCTTCCTTAATGAAGAAGGTGCTACTTAAATTGGCAGTGTGTGACTTGGGAATCAGACTGAATGTATTTTATCATCTCTACCAATTTTTAGCAGGATAACCTTGTGTATTTTGTTTAACCTCTAACCTATGGATAAAATGTAGATAACAAACCAGATATGGTAGTGTACACCTGTAATCTCAGCACCTCGGGAGGCAAAAAAACTGGGAATGTAGCTTAGTGTGAAGGCCTGGGGTATAATCTCTAGTACCAGAAAAAAAAAAAAAAAGATAATAGTAACTTATCAAGATCTTAGTGTGTGTAGATGCTTATAACCAGTGCCTGGCATATGGTGTCCCCCACTCAATCCAGGCTGTTATCATCATCATTACCATTTTTATATAATATTAAACTTTTTGGAAAAAAATTCTGTAACTTTTGTTTCTCTTTTCTTGTCTTCTGAGGGTGGAACAGCAAGGAATGTTATGTTTAGTTAAAATTTCAAAAGTAGTAAAAATTCAGAGATGCTGGATGCTAGTAATCCCAGCATTTGGGAAAGTAAAGCAAGATGAGCATGAGTTCAAGGCCGTTCTGAGTCTATAGTAAGTTCAAGGCCAGTGTGGATGACATGGTAAGACCCTGTATCTAAAAAAGTACTTATATAGAGGAATTTTTTTTTATTGTATATGCACAAGTCCCTCATGGCTACAGAAAATCAGTAGAGTTAGGTGGCATTAAAGAGTTCTGCTGGGGCTCAGTGGCTCAGCGCCTGCCTAGGAAGTATGTGGTCCTGAGTGTGATTCCCAGTACTAAAAAAAAAAAGGAAAGAAAAGAAAGAGGGGGACTGACAAGTTCTCTAGTGGCAGCTGCAGTATCCTAAGATGCCACTGAAAAAATATCTGTGAGCTGAAAGAAATTGTAGTTTTATATGAGGGTTATCAAGGAAGTAGCCAGCAATTGGATTAAGACATACGTAGCCTTCACCATAGAGAGATGGATAAAAGATACAGAGAAATAGGCAGAAATAATTCTTTTGACCATTAGTAAGTGATGAGTCTTACATACTTGCTTTCTCTGGTGACAGTTACTATGCCAAACTACGCCAACAAGAAATTGAGAGAGAGAGAGAACTAGCGGAGAAATACCGGGACCGTGCCAAGGAACGGAGAGATGGTGTGAACAAAGATTATGAGGAAACTGAGCTTATTAGCACCACAGCTAATTACAGGGCTGTGGGCCCTACTGCTGAAGCGTGAGTACTGAGGAAGCCAGGGCATAGTTTCATACAATCACAGTACAAACTCTCCTACATGTTCTGCTTTGGAATTCACACTATGCTATTTAAAGAGGCACTTGCTACTCACAAAAAACTGTTCTATATGACTTTTATCATTATACAGGGATAAATCAGCTGCAGAAAAGAGAAGACAGTTGATTCAAGAGTCCAAATTCTTGGGTGGTGACATGGAACACACCCATTTGGTGAAAGGCTTGGATTTTGCTCTGCTTCAGAAGGTGAGGTGGGAGTAATTAACTAGAGTACTGAATGCTCTTGTCTGGACTTTGGTGAAGTGAAGAGGGACTTACCTCCTAGTACTGACCATCTTTCTGGAAGAAGAGCTAAATGTGGCCCTTCTGCAAGACTTGTTAATGTTCCTCCTTCAATATCAACATAAATTTTATCTACAGTCATCCAGGATTAAGTCCTTTAAACCTTGCCTCTTTCCCGTGCCTTTGCATGACTCTTATATTTGTTATAGCAGTTATTACACTTTGTTGAAATTGTTTGTGTCTCCTGCTATAAACTCTACTATAGTAAGAACAGTATGTCACAGTGTGATTTTTTTCCTGGCATGGTATGGTATAGTGGATGTTTGGTAAATGTACATAAAGTATGAATGTCTAAGCTCTACTGTCTTTCTTGTTAGGTACGAGCTGAGATTGCTAGCAAAGAGAAGGAGGAAGAAGAACTGATGGAGAAGCCCCAGAAGGAAACCAAGTAAGTAAATAAGGTAATAACCTTCATTCATGAATGCTTTTGTTTGCAAACCTTATCAGGTGGCACATGCTGTAACCATCTTTGCCACACAAACACAGATATGGGCATCTTTTACAAAATTTTTGAACAAATTCAGTTCATGAACTGAGGTATCAGGGAATACTTAAAAGTTTGGAAAAGCTGGGGCCTAAAATAAGGAACAAAGTTATTAAAAAATAATAATTATGATGTTTTTGTTTTCAGGAAAGATGAGGATCCTGAAAACAAAATTGAATTTAAAACACGTCTGGGTATGTACCTTCTGTACTAGTTAGTAACTATGTATTCTAGGTGACACAGTCTGCTGCATCAGAGTATGATTTTTCTTCCTCATAGCTTTTCTTCTTTTTGTTCCCCAAACAAGCTAATTCCCATCAGCTGTAGTAGAAAGGATGTAACTCAGTAGTAGAGCACTTACCAGCATGTGCAGAGCTCTAGGTTTGATCCCCAGTACTCAGGGGAAAAAAGCACCCAACATAGATTTAATTATTCCACAGTCTTTTGAGTTAGATTGAAAGCTTTTTTAGTTTGAAACATGTATTAAAGAAGGTACCATTTTTAGTGGTTGAAAGCTCAGAGTAAGCGAGGTGTGGTGGCTCATGCCTGTTTGTCCTGTTTGTTTTTTTTAACCGCCGAAGGATTTGGGAGGCTGAGGCAGGAGGATCACCATGAATTCGAGGCCAGTCTGGGCTACATAAGTAAGTTCAAGGCAAGCCTGCACTGCATAGTGACACCCTGTCTCAAAAAAACCAAAAAAAACCCATAAACCAATAGCTGAAGTATACTAAGAATACTTTTTTTAATCCCTATTTGTCTTTTATGTCATATTTTATTTATATATTAAACTTTTTATATAAGGGAGACTGCGTGATGTTCAAGCTTGTGTGTCTGATTTACTTCAGCAGCCCAGGCTTTGGAATTGGACACATGGATCCTATTGTTTGCTCTTATTTGATAATTCTGTAACTTTAGGTACATCACTTCATTCTCAGCTTTAGTATTCTTAGTAGCAAAAAGGATAATAATGTCCTCTCATGGAGCTATTGTGAAGATTGAATGAAATAAATTAAGCATAGTATTTGACATGGTGCCTAGGGCAAGGTGAGTACCTAGTAAATGGCCATTGCTTTTGCTTGTTTGTTGTTTGGTTTTTGTTTATTTCTGAGACAGGGTCTTACTGTGTAGTTCAGACTGGTATTGAACTGACTTGTGTAGTCCAGGTGGCCTCGAACTTGTGGCGATCCTGTCTTAGTCTCTCAGGTTCTAAGATTGCAGGTGTGTGCCACCATGCCTGGCTACTGTTACTATAAAAGGTTCTCATTGACTAATAACTACTCTTCTTCTTTGTGTAGGCCGCAATGTTTACCGTATGCTTTTTAAGAGCAAAGCGTATGAGCGCAATGAGCTGTTCCTGCCGGGTCGAATGGCCTATGTGGTAGACCTGGATGATGAGTATGCAGACACAGACATCCCCACTACTCTTATCCGAAGCAAGGCTGACTGTCCTACTATGGAGGTGAGTAAGAGAGTTCTGAGAGCCTGTTGCATAATAGTCCTCAAACTTCGGAATCAGTGTTGCCTTATCTGTCATATCACTGTGTCCTGTTTGTTTTTTTTAACCGCCAAAGTTTCAGCTGAATCCATCACTGTTTTTCATTTCCACCAACAACATTGCAGTCTAAATCATAGTCTGTTGGTGGAAATATTCAGAGGCTCCTAATTGTTTTTACCACTCCTGCCTCCACTCTGGTTTCTATTCGTTGAATCATTTCTTTTTATTGAAATATAATTCACCTTCAATAGTTCATTTTTGAAAAGTATGCAGTTTGATAATTTTTAGCATATTCATCAAGTTTGGGAGTCCCTGTTGATGATAAGTTTTAGAATTTGCCTTTATCCCCAAAGAAACCCTATACTAAGTCAGGTGTGGTGGCATACGTATTAGTCCCAGCACTCTAGGAGGCTTAGGAAGGAAGATTGTAAGTTCAAGTTGAGCCTGGGCAATTTAGGGACCTGTCTCAAAATAAATTAAAAAGAGGCTGTTTAACACAAAGATTCTGGATTCAATTTTCATTCCTGCAAGAAATTGTGTACTGTCTAGCTGTCTGCTATTCCTAGTTTCTCCATCTCACCCTCATGTGGTTTTTACATGTTTACACTTGGTCAGGTGATGTTTTTCCCCCTCCTTGCCTAGATCATCTTTTGGGGGAGGTGGGGGAAGTGGTTAGATGGACTTGCTTCACAGGCTGGCTGTGAGGTGACCTTCCTGCCTCAGCCTCCCAAGTGCCAGGATTATAGGTGTGCACCACCTGTATTCCCAGGTACTTCTTATTTTTATAATGCAAAATTTTTGTGTTATCACAGCTTAGAAGCTTTGGGTGTTTTGTTATTCCTAGGAGAAAGAGCAAATTCTTCACCATGGGCCTTTGAGCCTATGCAACATCTGGTCTTTCTAGCCCCATTTCATCATGCCTCCCTGTTGTTTGTTCTCCTGTCATCCTGGGTTTTTCGAATGTTCTGGGTTCACTTATTAACTCAGGGCCTTGATGCATGCTGTTTTCTCTGTCTTCCCTGTTCCCTGTCTTCACCTGGTTAACTGTAACATCCTTTAATTTATTACATGAGTAGATTAATAAATGAAGATGTTCCTGTTCAGTGTGATAATGTTCTTGTTTTTTGGGATTTTTAGGCTCAGACTACACTGACTACAAATGACATTGTCATCAGCAAGCTCACTCAGATTCTTTCCTACCTGAGACAGGGTACCCGTAACAAGAAACTCAAAAAGAAGGATAAAGGTATCTGGAATGTTAGGGAAACCTTACCTCCAGGGGGATGGCATTTGAAGGTGGAGCCAAGGTCTGGAGTTTTCTGTCTGTAGTTCATTGAAAACCTTGCAGGCAGTAGAGAACAATGGGTGCTAGTGCAGAGGACATAAGCAAGATGAGTATACCCAGGGTCTGTCTGCTTGACCCACCCAGAATGCAATGGTCAGGAGGAGGGAGAATATTGTTCTATATTCCTACATTTTTTTAAAATAAATGTGACTTCATTATTTTGTTAATAGTGTCCCATTATATATAAATACAGAGATTTTTAAAAAAAAATTTCTATATCAAACATATTTCAAAAAAAGTAAAAAATAAAAGAAACAAATATATCTTTTGTAACCTCAAAACCTGTTTTGGTTATAACCATGTACATATAGCTGCTACCACACATGCTAAAAGCATACTTGACAAAGTACAAAAATAAGAAATGGTTAGAAAAAGGGGCTGGGGATTTAGCTCAGTGGCATAAGCACCTGCCTTGCGAGCAGGCGGTCGTGAGTTCGATCTCTGGTACCGAAAAAAAGAAAAGAAAAAAAAAAAATAAGAAATGGTTAGAAAAAAAGTTATTCTTGGAGTTAAAATCATGACTAAAATATTCCTTTTTAATCACAAAGTTGTATCACAGCTAAAAATATACAAAGTAATACATACTGTTGTACAGCTACTTTATTTACTATGAAAAATGGGTAGTGACATTTCATAGGTAAAGGCTAAGTTCTGGGACATGAAAGCTTTTAGGTAATCCAAAAAACACCTGAGATGTCTTTTTATTTTGAGAAAAAAAAAAGTATTCTTAAATAGAGCCTTAAAATATAAATGATATATGTAATAAGCATTATACCTTAAGTATTGTGATAACATGAAAGTAGATGTTCTGACTTTAATGGTGATCAGTATATATTCCTACATTTCAAACAGAAGCGGTTAAAAAGGTATTAAGAAACCAGGCGTGGAGGCACATGCCTATAATCCCAGCACTTGGGAGGCTGAGGCAAGAGAATTGCTGAGAGTTTGAGGCCAGCCTGAACTGCATAGTGAAACCCTGTCTCCTAAGGGAAAAAAAAAAGGACATCAAGAACTGCAGTGGGTTATATGTGGAATTAACTTCAAAGTGTGTTCCTGACTGCTTTCTTTATTTCACAGGGAAACTAGAAGAGAAGAAACCACCTGAAGCTGACATGAAGTACGTGTCCTAGCCTGGGCACCTGGTCTGAGGGGGGGTTCTGTGCTTGTTAGAGGCCTTGTTGGTTCGGGAATCTATGAGTGGCTAGGGTGAGTAGATGTGTACGTGACTCTGGCACCTAGTGATCTCTACCTTTACCTAGCATTTTTGAAGACATTGGGGATTATGTTCCCTCCACAACCAAGACACCTCGGGACAAGGAGCGAGAGAGATACCGGGAACGGGAGCGTGATCGGGAGAGAGACAGAGACCGGGACCGAGAACGGGAACGAGAACGGGATCGGGAGCGGGAGCAGGACCGAGAGAGAGAGGAGGAAAAGAAGAGGCATAGCTACTTTGAGAAGCCCAAAGTGGATGATGAGGTGAGATGTTGGCCCTTGGCACCAGGCAGTGGAGCTACTTCTCTTTGCCAGGCCAGGTCTGGGACCCTCCTGATACATAGGTGTCTTGTGGCTTCCTACAAGCAACTGGCCAACTAACTGGGAGTTGGAATCATTCTGGTCACAGGGAAGGTGGGGTAAGGAATTGATTCAGACGGGATAGGGCTGAGTGGGAATAGCCTATGATGACATTTACCTCAATTTTTGTTTTCTTTGCAGCCCATGGACGTTGACAAAGGTGAGTTGTAACTAGAGCATCTCACATTGACTCTGACAGTCCTGCTTTCCTCTGGGCTCAGAGTCTGAACTGTATACAAAACTGGCAAAGGTAGGATTGGGGAACTCCTGGGTGTGGGCTCCACAGTAACCACATTTTACCTAATGGAATAGAGTGAATGTGGAGTTTATCCACTTGCTGGGCAGTGGTGGGGTATATGGGCTGTTAGATAAATAATTTTTCAAGCAGTGCGCTTTTGAGGAAGTGCGACAGGGATTGAGATAGGGTTAGAGTCTATTTTCTGGTTCCCATTACCCTTTTTAATCAGAATAGCTGATTATTATCTGGAATTTGGTTAAAATTTTGTTACATTAAAGGGGTCCTTTTGCCTTAAAAAGGTTTTAATGGAGCTACAAATTGAAAATACGTTGTGATGAGGAGATTCAGAATATTAGTTTTAAAAAAAAAGAGAGACTATTAGTTCAAACCTAACCAGACTTTTCTGTCCACTCAGGACCTGGATCTGCCAAGGAGTTGATCAAGTCCATCAATGAAAAGTTTGCTGGGTCTGCTGGCTGGGAAGGCACTGAATCATATCCTTTATTTAAATAAGCTCCTGGGTTGTAGAGAGGTTTTTTTCTTTTTATTCTAGCTCTCACTTTTCTATACCCTTCTATCCTACCTACACTTTTTCTTTCTTGCTGGATTTGAAAGGGATAAAAATCATACTTTGCCTCTTCCTCAGAGGATTCATTCAAGCTCACAATTTGCTCTTGAAGCTTTTCATGCTGAGCCCTGTTGCCCATGTATTCCCTGCCTGAAGCTCCTGCATGAAAGAGATCAAATTCTACCTAGTATTTTCTTTAACATAGCATATGCTGAAGAAGCCGGAAGACAAAAAGCAGCTGGGCGATTTCTTTGGCATGTCCAATAGTTATGCAGAGTGCTATCCAGCCACGTACGTAGGGTCCTGTTAGGGGTTCGGATGACTGGGGAGCATGTTGATGAGGTGAGAACTTGACTCATAGGGACCCAAGGGTATTTCTTACTTGGATGAATCCTTCTATTAGGTTCTGAATGGAGGTCTATGGAGTGGTCATGACTAATGTTTGGATTTGTATATGAAGCATAGTGGTCTGAGTTTACACCATCTTTTCAATTGTTCTTTTTTTTTTTTTTTTAGGATGGATGATATGGCTGTGGATAGTGATGAGGAAGTGGATTATAGCAAAATGGACCAGGTATGAGATTAGGAGGATGCTTTGAGTCTTTGGGCAGTTACTCTAGGGTACCTCTTTCTCCCTCCAAATTCATCTCAGTTCTTAGGCTCTACTCCTGCTATTAACAATAAAACTAGTAGCTTTGGGCCTGGGGAATTAGTTCAGCGGCATAAGCACCTGCCTTGCAAGCAGGTGGTCGTGAGTTCAATCCGCGGTGCTGATTAAAAAAAACAAAAAACTAGTAGGGTGCTGATTAAAAAAAACAAAAAACTAGTAGCTAAAGCTACTAGTCATATTTTAGGTCATATTTTAGAGTCTGCACAAGATCAAATAAGATAGAGCCAAAATGTATTTTTTTTATTTCCTACAAAAAATGCATATCACAGTTTCTCATCTGCAGCAGTAAGTAAGCATTAATACATAGATGCAAAGGTTAGAAAGAACTGCAGTCTTTAGAAAATGTCTGGATTTCGAGCCACAATTGACATTTTCCTCTGTCTTAAATATAATTTTCAGGGGTTGGGGATTTAGCTCAGCGGCTTAAGCACCTGCCTTGCAAGCTGGCAGTCGTGAGTTCGATCCCTGGTACCGATAAAAAGGAAAAAGACAAAAAAAAAAAAAAAAAAAAAAAAGTATATATATAGTTTTCAAATACTATTTTTAAAAATTTTGCTTAAAACAAGAGCAAAATGCCAGTCCTGGTTGGATGAATTCTGGATATTTTCTTTTCTTTTTTTTTTTTTTTAGTTTTTTTTTTTTCTTTTCTTTGTCTTTTTCTTTTTAATCAGTACTAGGGATTGAACTCACGATCACATACTTGCAAGGCAGGCACTTATGCAGCTAAGCTAAATCTCCAGCTCCAAATTCTGGATATTTTCTAAGAGAACAATTCCTCCTACACTTTCTACTAAGGAAGAAAGAAGAAAGGGAGAATTGAAGAAAAAATGAAATAGAGATTCTGTGAGTGGGAAGGGAGAATAAAAATTGGAGTAGAGATAGGACGGGAAAGGGAGGAAAAATAAAAAGAATTAAGAGGGCCGAGGCTATAGCATAGTGCCTGCCTGGCAACCATGAGGTCATGAGTTTGATCCCTGGTACCAAATAAATAAATAAATAAATGTACACATGTACAAACTTCCCATAATAAATGTACTCATGTACTGTAAACATGAACTAAGAAAGATAGTAACAAATCACTATTAACAGCTTTAAGAAATTTTGTGAAGAAATTTTATCTACTTTTCTCTTTTTCACAGTATACTACAATGTAAGAGCATGCTATAAGTTTGAGCTTTGTTTAATCTTGCCTTTGCTATTAATTAGTTTGGTAATTTTCTTTTTCCCCCAATACTGGGATTGAACCAAGGTTTATCAACATGCTATGCAAACACTCTACCATTGACTTACCTCCTTAGATTTTTAAAAAAGTGTATTTTGGGGGGCTAGAGATATAGCTCAGCAGTGTAGCTCCTGTCTTGCAAATGTGAGGTCCTGAGTTTGATTTTCAGTACCCCATCACCCCAATTGAATTTTTTTTAATAGTCTCAATGCCCAGAGCGGCCTCAAACTCGGCAATCCTCTTTGCTTTAGCCTCCTGAATAGCTGAGATTGTAAGTATATGTCACCATGCTGGGCTCCTTGCTAAATTCTTTTACTGTTTATAACTGCCTTGGTTTTCCTCATCAGGAAAATAGAAATACATTTTTTCTTCACAGGTTTTTGTGAGAATGTGTTTTTAGTGTTTAGGATAATGTATGGTACTTAAAAGTAAATGTATAGGAAATATTATTTATTAGGATAGGAATTTTTAATGGTTTAACCTGAGTTTGTAGAAGAATCTGGCTAAGTTTCCTTTTCTACTGACGTCTATTTCCCCATCTACTTATTTTGTCCTGCCACAGGGTAACAAAAAGGGCCCCTTAGGCCGCTGGGATTTCGATACACAGGAGGAGTACAGCGAATACATGAACAACAAGGAGGCTTTGCCGAAGTGAGTTGGTACTAAATATGGGCAGGAATGAGGAGGAGTTTCGCACCTGGGTAGACTAGCCCACACCAGGTTAGAGGACATAGTCCTGAAGTCTCTGATAGGTACATTGCTTGCAGAACCCTCTGGGGAAAAACCTTGTTACTGCTGTGTTATCAAGAACCTATCCAAGAGTCCTGATAGTTAATTCAGGAATCCAGCCAAGAATCCCAATTGTCTGTCTCTAGAATGCTGTGAGAAAAATAAAGAGGCAAGTATTCCTTCAATGGCTGAAAGTCAGTCTCTGGATCCAACCTCCTCCACTCCCAAAGCAGCCACTATTTATTCAGTGTATACAGTGATAGTTGGGGCTAACAAAGAATTATAATTCATCCAAAGACCCCATCTCCAGAGGGTATAGATAATCTTATGTTTAGAAGTATCTTGACCCCGAGTATAATCCTGTGATGACTTTTAAGAAGGCATAGGTGATCTTATACTTAGAAATATCTTGTCCTTGAGTATAAGTCTGAGATGACTTAAGGTATAGATGATCTTAATCTTAGAAGAGTCAATGGGAAATCTCAGATGGGTGGTACTGATAATCCCAGTTCTTCCTTTTATCCCATAGAGAAATATGTAAAATTAGCCATTGTGAATTTGTGGTCCCCAACACTGTGTGACTCTTAATACCTTCTTCTAATGGTCCTTTTAAGGGCTGCATTCCAGTATGGCATCAAGATGTCTGAAGGACGAAAAACCAGACGCTTCAAGGAAACTAATGACAAGGCAGAACTTGATCGCCAGTGGAAGAAGATTAGTGCAGTAAGTGGGACACACTCTCAGGTGGGAGGGTTTCAGCTGGGAGGGGACACTGGCCCACAGATTGAGGAACATTCACAGGGTTGGAGGGCCATGGAAGTGAGAGAGAAGCATTGGGCCTTAGGTGAGCTTAGACTATAGACTATTCTTTTTTTTTTTTTGCAGATCATTGAGAAGAGGAAGAAGATGGAAGCTGATGGGTGAGCAGCATTATTCTTCTTCGGGACTCATTGGAATTGCTTATTGCATTGATCATATGCTGACCTATTTCTCCTTCCATTGCAGGGTTGAAGTGAAAAGACCAAAATACTAATCTCTACTGGAGAGTCTCCACATGGATATTGTTTCTACTACTTTCTTCCTGTAATTCCTACTAATGTTACAATGTGGAGTTTTTTGTGTGTTTGTGAATGTATATAAAATTTTATTGTATTATCATTTGGTTCCATTAAAATTGGTTAACCTGCTGTCTTCTCTGTTGAGTGTACTCCTTCCTCAAGGGTCCCTTAGAGCACTAGGTGGCCAGTTCTGCTGTTATATGAACACTTTGATGGGGTTGTAATTCGTTTGTCTCACTGCTGGGAGGCTCTGTACCACCAGTGGTATATGCATACCACTCACTGGTAATACATATATCACTGTCCCATTGGGAGCATGTAACAGTTGTATTCGGTGGTACAGATCACCTGTTGAGACAGTTATGTACATACCCCAGTATTTCAAACTGGTGGGAACACATTAAATCACATACAGAGCTGGGTAGTCTTTCTACTCGAACTTGTGGAGATCCTCCTACTTCAGTCTCCCAAGTGCTGGAATCACAAGGATGCGCACTGTATCTGTCTTGGTGCACACATAATCCGAGCAATCTGGGAGGCTGAGGCAGGAGTGATTAAAAGTTTGAGCCCAGCCCATGTAATTTAGTAATTTATGAAGACCTTGTCTCAAAAAAACAAAAAGTGCTGGAGCTGTATCTCAGTGTGAAGGCTCTGGGCTCAATTAAATCTCAGGTTGAAAAAAAAAAATCACAGTTATTTCGTCTTTATTGAACTGTGATTCTAAATCCATGGACAGTACCCAGTTCCAATTAGGAAAAAGGTCATAGAGACGTGGATCATGGATACCTGAAGGCTCAGTAAGAATAAGCCCAGGGGGTTGGCTTCCAAGTTTAAAATTCAGTTTCTGCAGGTACTATTATGTCTCACTGAAGCAAACCGAAATGCTACATGTTGAATGGGTGACAAAAACTCAGGATCACATACTGTAATGACTTCCAGGCACTTAGCAAGTGTGACAGACTGCCTCTCTGAAGTCCCTAAGCCTTGGTTCCCCTCTCAAGTAGCATCAACATCAAATGTCTTAGCCAGCACTCTGGAAGCTGAGGTTGGATTCCAACTTTAAACTCAGCCTGGGCAATTTAGAGCTTGTCTCAACCAAAACAACAAAAAAGGCTTAGAAGGCAGTACTACAGAGATGTAAGGAAGTTCCCTTTGGTCACACAAGGGTATACCTGCCCTTTATCCCCACCGTGCAGCGTCCCATCACTGAGACTTGACAGCAGGGATGTCCAGAACATCTGCTGTCCTGCCCTTTTCCCCTTCCAGCTTGGTAGCCTTAAGCCCAGGTCATTTTGACTACCAAGAGTCCCGAAACCAAACTGCAGGGAAATTGCAGAGCACTTCTCATTTAACCATAAAAACCTTGTGCATAGTCAGCTTGAACAAGTGTGCAGGATGCCTTGTCATCTTTGGGTAACTGTGGCTTTAGCTGCGGCTTGAGCATCCTGGCTGCAGCTTGCCATGGTTTGAATTTACCATGCATCCCTCTTCTTTTTCCTTTTTTTAAAAATTGGTACCAGGGATCGAACTCACGACTGCCTGCTTGCAAGGCAGGCGCTTATGCCGCTGAGCTAAATCCCCAGCCCCAAGGGAGCACCTATTAGGATGGGGGAGGGGGAGGGGATAAAACAACGTAATTCCCAATTACATGAACGAATATATGTAAAAAAGCAAATTAAAAAGGAAGGAAAGAGGAAAAAACGAAAGAAAAGTGTTCGCTTCGGCAGAACATATACTAAAACTGGAACGATACAGAGAAGATTAGTATGGCCCTGCGCTAGGATGACACGCAAATTCGTGAAGCGTTCCATATTTAAAAAAAAAAAAAAAAAAAAGATAAAAACAAAGTCTGATTAGGGTGGAAGGGCCCTCGGAACCCTGACGCCCGCCTTCCCACCTGTGACGTCATTCGGCGCACTTCCGTCCCCGCCCCAACACGGAAGCAGTGTCCGGGCCGCAGCCGCAGCCACAGCCTTACGGTTGGTTTCAGTGCTGGTGCTGGGCGGGATCTCCGTTCGGAATCCTTCTGAGCATGGACAGCACGTGTGAAGAGAGGCCTGCGAACGATGGGAGCGACGAGGAGGATTCTGACTCCACTGAAGCCCCGGCCCGGATCCGGGACACCCCGGAAGACATTGTGCTGGAAGCCCCGGCTAGCGGGTTGGCTTTCCACCCAACCCGCGACCTGCTGGCGGCGGGGGACGTGGACGGGGACGTGTTCGTGTGAGTGAGGGCGTAGTGGAGGCGGTCGTCTCTTTTTGAAGCTCCCCAGGGATGGAACTGGGACAAGGATGGAAAGAATGTTGCCAGGAGACAAATTTCGCAAGACTTGGATTCGATTCTTGAACAAGTTAATCCACAGTGGTGTCAGTAGAACTGAAAGAGGCGGGCCTGGCCTGGTAGTTCACCCCCATAAACCCAGCACTCTTAAAGGCTGAGGCTGGAGGATTGCCGCGATTTAGAGACCAGTCTGGGCTTCCTAGTGAGTTCAAGATCAGTGTGACCTACAGATAGAGACTCTTTCTCTAAAGAACAAAACAGCCCCAAACCAACAACAAACTGTGACTGAGTCCAGGGATTGTATCAGGAAAAAAAAAAAAAGAAAAGAAAAGATGCCTGAGTCCCGAAGTTCCCACTTGTAGTAAGAGCCATACGGTTCAACAGCAACCCTTGCTTTTGCCTTTTTAGTGGATCTTTTTTAAAAAAAAAGCCACATACCTAGCTTGGCTAGGTGGTGCTTAAACCTCTAATCATAGCACTTGGCCTCTCAGAAGGCAGAGGGAGGACACTTGCCGGAAAAACTCCGAGGCCAGCTTGCACTAAAAACAACGTGCAATCACATCACTCCCTTGGTTAAAATCCTTTCGTAATCTGTTTTTAGGATTTAAAACAAACTCCATTTGGCTTTTAAGTTCTTGACCACCTAGCTCTTACCTGCGCTCCCTTTTGCTTAGTGGGCTCATTTTTAATCTATAGGTATGTAATTTGTTGTCATTTTGAAACAGGATCTCCATACATAGTTCAGGCTAGACTTGAACTCTCAGGAATCCTCCTGCCTCAGCCACCTAGTATTGCATCATCATGCTTAGCTCTTTTTTCAAAGTTTTTGGCTTTGCCCCACAGTAAAAATATCATTTACATTATGCATAATGATAATTTCTGGTTTATTTTATTCAGTTGTTATTGCATGTACACAACATGATGATTGACATTTACTGTGGATTATATTGGAATTTGAAAAACACTGGAGTGGGGCTGGGGATTTAGCTCAGCGGCATAAGCACCTGCCTTGCGAGCAGGTGGTCGTGAGTTCGATCCCTGGTACCGATAAAAATGAAAAAGACAAAAAAAAAAAAAAAAAAAAAAAGCCAACACTGGAGTGTAATCCGTAGTCTTGTTTGTTCTCCATTTTGTCTCCTGCTTCTAGTTCAAGAATAGGTACTCAATGCATGCTTAAACGTGAGGTACAGGGTGGAGGCATTGGAAAGCCCCTCAAGGTTTATAAGCAGGAGAATTATGCTATGAAATTTACATAATTAAATGTCAGCCCTTAGTGTTAATGACTTTTGGCAGGTTAACTTGTGTGCTTTCATCTGTAAAAATGGGAATAACATGTGCCTTGCAGAGGACACTATTCAGTTTATTCCCTGAGCGGCTCAACACATGTAGGTTTTTTACTGCTACCCATGTTTTCAGTGCCTGATAGTTGGGAGTTTCATGCCCTACACCACCACTTTTCTTTCCACTCCCCAAAATTTCATTTACTCAGTTTATCATGAAGTTCTCCATCTTATAAATGGTCAGGAGAACAATCTTTGGAAACACCCCACCCCCACCCCAGTTCTTCACCCTCACTGAAGGCCTTCTGGTGATCCTCTGACTCCTCCTTTCATGATCATTCTCAAGCAGTTCCTTTTCTCCTAAAAAAGCCAGACTTTATTCTAGAAGAGACATTGATGCCTGCCTCCAGTGTGCTCCCTGTTCTCTGCCAGTTGAGATAATTTTTCATGGCCCAACTGACATGTTGTCATCTTAATTTTCAGGGCCTTTTGTTTGGTTTTTGTTATGCAGATCAACCCATGGCCTCACATTCTCAGCACATACTATGCCTCGGAGCTACATTCCCAGTCCACGGGGTCTCATCTCCCTTCTCAAGTATTCAGTTTGTAACTATCAAGCCATTTCTTCATGCTAGACACAAGGACAAAGAAGACAATGAGCACACCCAGTTGTGTCCACATGGAACTTACTGGCAATTAAGTATTTGTGTATTTGGCCCAGTTAGGTCTGCTGTGTGTCAAGCACTGAGGATTCCCTGGATAGGTACGGGTTTCAAAGCTTAGTTTACAGGCTGGTGCCTCTCTGTTCTACCTCCATTTTGGTCCCATCTCTGTCAGCTTTTTTTTCTTTTCTTTTTTTTGGTACCAGGGATCGAACTCAGGACCGCCAGCTTGCAAGGCAGGTGCTTATGCTGCTGAGCTAAATCCCCAGCCCCTACACCCAGCATTTTGATAATGGTCATAATGTGCTGTAATTAACTGTGGCAAATACTAGCTCCTAGGCACTTGGGAGTGCACATCCTGATTTTCAGTTTTCCAACTTCTGGGTCTTCCGTTATTGCTTAAACAAGTATTTCTGGGCCCTCATAGACGTCTGGACCCAGTCTTTTCCTAGTCTGGTGCTTTCAAGGATGATGAAGGTGGGGGTAGAGTGAGGTCACAAAAAGTCCTGTGCAAATGTACCTGAAATATGCATTGAAACAAGACCAACCTTTTGAAGCTTATTGAAAATGGGTACAGGATGGTAAGCTCTGCTCTTGGATGTATATAAGCAAGAACTCCTAGGTAGGTGCAAAGTTGGTCTACCTAGTTGTTCTCCACGTCACACATCACAAGGTGTGGTCTGGGATCATTTACCTTTCTTCCCTTCTCCCAGATTTTCCTATTCTTGCCAAGAGGGAGAAACTAAGGAACTCTGGTCCTCAGGTCACCACCTCAAGGCTTGCCGAGCTGTAGTCTTTTCTGAAGATGGGCAGAGTAAGTACTGGAAAAAGCAGCCAGCAGTGTGGTGAGGGGAAGGATGCAGTAAGCAGCACTGAGCTGGGCACCTTTTCCCACAGAACTTGTTACTGTTTCCAAGGATAAAGCCATTCATATCCTAGATGTGGAGCAGGGCCGATTAGAAAGACGGATTTCTAAGGCTCATGGGTAAGGGCTGTCAATTTTTGTGTGAAGGACTAAGAGGTCCCTACTAGGATAGGGATGCTCTAATTAAGTTCCCCACATCTCTCCAGTGCCCCCATCAACAGTCTGCTGCTGGTAGATGAGAATGTTCTGGCCACTGGGGATGACTCAGGTGGTGTACGGCTCTGGGACCAGCGTAAGGAGGGCCCCCTAATGGATATGCGACAGCATGAGGAATACATTGCTGACATGGCTCTCGACCCAGCCAAAAAGCTGCTGCTGACGGCCAGGTACAACCTCAAAGCTGCCTCATCTTTTCCCTCGTTAGTTTTCCTCAAAAAAACTGTCACCTAAGCCTGCTGCATTGCTCTCTACAGTGGTGACGGCTGCCTTGGTGTCTTCAACATAAAAAGACGCCGGTTTGAGCTACTCTCAGAGCCTCAGTCTGGGGACCTGACCTCTGTCACCCTTATGAAAGTATAGCTGGGTATGATGGGATTGGGTGTATATGCTAGGGGTGTGGGTCTGAGGTGCCTGCACAAATGCGGTTTTTTTCTCTGCAGTGTGGGAAGAAGGTGGCCTGTGGTTCTAGTGAAGGTACTATCTACCTTTTTAACTGGAATGGTTTTGGGGCCACAAGTGACCGATTTGCCCTGAGAGCCGAGTCTATTGACTGCATGGTTCCAGTCACTGAGAGTTTGCTGTGTACTGGGTCCACTGATGGAATCATCAGGTAAGGGAAACTGCAACAGCTTCCGAGCCGATTAATGTGTTTGTGGGTGGAGGGTCAGAAAGACAAGGAAGCTGGGTAGCTCCCACTAGCAAGTACCCCAACACTGTTCTTTTCCTGCTCAGGGCTGTGAACATCCTGCCTAACCGAGTAGTGGGCAGTGTAGGCCAGCATGCTGGGGAGCCCGTGGAGGAGCTGGCCCTTTCTCACTGTGGCCGCTTCCTGGCCAGTAGTGGCCATGACCAACACCTCAAGTTTTGGGACATGGCCCAGCTGCGAACTGTGGTGGTGGATGACTACCGTCGACGCAAGAAAAAAGGAGGGCCACTGCGTGCCCTGAGCAACAAAGCCTGGAGCACTGATGACTTCTTTGCAGGACTGAGGGAAGAAGAAGATACCAAGGGCCCAGAAGAAGAGAGTGAGGATGACAGTGACTGAGAGGATGAGGAGAATCTATTGGGGTCAGAAATTTCATTGAGCATAAGCTTCTTGTTCTTAAGATGAATTCCTAGGGCTGGGGATTTAGGTCAGTGGTGTAAGTGCCTGGCAAGCATGAGGTCATCCCTGGTACCAAGGGAAAAAAAAAAAAAGACTTCTTAAAGAGAACACCAAACTTTTTGGTGCTTGTGCATATAAAGCACACAGCCCTGAGACCATGACTATATTAACACTTGTGCAGGGGATCAAAACTCAAGAGTACTGAATAGGTGAAGAGTTTATGCCCTGCAGCAGCTGCTTGATCTAACAATGTACGACAAACCCTCAGTGTGTTAAGACAGCACAGACATCATGTATACTAACTAGGAGTTTAATATAAATACAACCAGCATAGAAAAGCTCAAAACCATATTACAAACAAAGTCAGAATGACAACTGGTGGGGTAGAAGGGCAGACATTGACTTTTTGGTTCAGCCAGTCCCCCAAATAAAAACAAAGATTCATGCTATCTTGGGGGTGAGGGAGAGCAGGGATATGGTGTTCTGTGTTACACAGGGAATGGCCCTGGGTTCAGGGCAGGAGGGCAAAATGCCTCACAATTTAAGCCAAATCTGAGCAGTCCTCAGGTGTTCTTTGAGCCCTGCCCCAGTGGTGCTGCTGTCTCAAGACCTGGGGAGGGGGCCCCTCCCCTTCTAGGGATCAACTTAGTTTCTGCCCAGGCCTGCTGGGCTGAGGGCAGACACAGGCCCTGCCTGCAGTTCAGGCTGCCTGAGGGGAGAGTAAGGGGTCACTGCTTAACCACGGCACCTGCCTCAGCTCCAGAACACCATAAGAGACTGGCTCCGGACTCACTCAGTGCCTCCAGCAGCCGTGCTGACACAGCATCCTTGGCCATCTCATGCCCATCTTGCCCTTCTGTTGCTAGCACAACCCAGATGAGGCCACTGAAAGGCACTGGATGCCCAGGGATCACTACCTGGTACCAGAAGCGATGCCAGCCAGCAGGTCCTATGCCCAAACACTTGGTAAGGAATACTGGGCTACCCAGCTTCATTCGTTGGCACAGTAGCTGCAGGGCAGCCCGAGCACCTTGGTACCCTAGCCTGCCCCTGCCTAGGACCAATTGGCTGCCTTCTGGCTGTAGGCACTGAAGTGAGGGACCCATCAGCTGCTGGCGGAGCCGTTGCTTTAGGTCTGGCTTGAGCCACTCCACAGCCACCTGTTCTCCACAGAGCCTGGATTGACCTGCAGAAAACAAGACACAAAGTGTCTTGAATGAGACGCCTGAGTGAGCCAAGGAGGACAGACTTGGGTTTAAGTCATGGCCTCACCATTTCACAGTATTTGGCCTAAGGGCCTAAGTTAACAACAGCCTTGGCCTTATTTGTAAGAGAGGTGTTAATAAAACTGCCTTTTGTTTCCTTGAAGGAGTACTGTTTTGCTGCAGGTTTTATCTACCTAATAACCATCACAATAACCAGCCTTCCCAGTCAATGCTAGCTGTGGATCAGGAAATATGTTAAGTGCCATATGTCCATTGTTACTTAATTCTCACAAGTCTGAAGAGGCAGCTCTAGAGGAGAACCTTTCAGTTGGACTCCCTTGGGCAGCAAGTCAATTCTTTTTCACTGGAATGTTGAGAATGAATCCATGAGATAATGCCCAGGGAGTGCTAAGTTTTAGGTAAAGAGTTACCTGTAACACAACTACAAGTTAAAAAACAAATTTCCTTGGCCCTAACATTTTAAGACTAACCAAGGCTAGACGCCAAGCAGGAGCGCGCCTCCCGCCCCCTCTCGTTTCCCCCCACCCCCTTTACCTTCTACTAGGGCTTTTTTGGCCATGGCGGCAGCGCGGTGCGAGCTGAATTTAAGCAGCGCTATCTGCGCGGGCGCCTGGCCGGGACTGGGCAGCAGCTGCGCTTCCTGCAGGCCAGGCCCTAGTGGCTGCAGTGCCAGCAGCAGCATGTTGTGGGTCACGGCCAGCGGCAGCCCGTCCACGCTCAGCTCGCACTTTTCGGTGCTGCGGCAGACAAGCAGCGGGCAGGATGGCCGCAGAGGGTGGTTGTGCAGCGTCGCGATGGCTGCCTGGGCGCCGCGCCGCGAGCTGTAGCGGGCGTAGGCGAAGCCGCGGTTCAGGCCGCTGAAGGTCATCATCAGGCGGAATTCGTAGAGGCGGCCCACGCGCTGGAAGAGTGGGATCAGCTGGTGCTCGTACACGTCCTGGGGGAGCCGTCCTATGAACACCTCGGAGCCAGGCGGCGGCGGGCTGCCCACCCAGCCTGGAGAAGGGGGTGCGGAAGGCACTGTCAGCGTCGGAGGGCACAATGTGAGCGACCGTCCACCAAAGGGGTACACCGGGGCCGCAGGGGAAGAGGTGACCGAGCTACTACCAACAAGGCTGGCGCTGAGCAGGTGCACCTTGGGGCTGACTCCCGCTTTCCGACCCGCGCAGAGGATGAGGGTGCAGAACCCAAGCAAACTTCCCAGTGTGCTAGAGGTGCACGCCTAGCTCCTCCCGAAGGGTGCCGTCGGGCTCCTCCGGAGGGTGCCGGCCGGCCGGCGCATTTGGGCCCACGGGGGCGGGGGGGCGGGGGAAGTCGTACCTGGGGGTGGCCCGCCATACTTCCTCTGCCCGTTCACCTGCACCAGGCGGACGCCCGTCTCCCTGACCCAAGCCTCCAGGGCCGCCTTGTTCTCTGGATTCACCCTCTCACACCATTGCTGAGGGAAAAGGCAAAATGGAATTGCGCACTGCCGCCCCCGCCCCCAGTAGATTCAGAGTTCCTGTGGTCACAGCCTAAGCAGCAGGCCGAACTCCAAACTCCTCCGCAGAACTCCTCGGCGGTACTCACCTCACATTCACGTTTGGACTGCATGGCTGTGCAGCAGCGTCACCCGCACCCTCTTTATAAGTTCCTCCTCCTCCCCACTAGCTGTAGGCCTCTGGAAACTTCTCTACCCTCTGCCCCCACGCGCTCATTGGCTCTGAGCGAGGTCCCGCCTCTCGGGGGTGGAGCTGCACGTGCGCCCCCAGGCCCTCGACCTCATGTGGAAAATTAGACACTGTGGTGCAAGACAGTAGCAGGCAGTTACCAGCTGAGGAGTGGCTCAAATGGGAAGGGTGATCACCTGAGGCAAGAATCTAGAGGGAGCCCTTCACCTGGAGTCTTTTTCCCTTTCCCACCCACAAAGTGATCTGAATGGGTAGCTCAAGAGGCTGGAGGGGAAGGCGGAGTGAGGCATCAGCGACAGTTCAGTGGTTGAGGCATTTTATTGGACCTTTGGCGACGGGTGTAGGTAGGCATCTGTTCTGACTGGAGTTGGGTCTTGTGGATGAGGACATGTCAGGCCTGTCCACATAGCTCAGGAGGTGGACTGGCCTAGTTTCCCATGGCATTCTGTAGAAAGTGGTGTAGTACCCCATCATTTTTGCCAATCATGGTTATGATTCCTCAGGTCTTCTTCCTGGCACAAAAGTGTGCCAAACTATTAAAGCACAAATGCAGTTTTAGCACAAAGTAGTGTGAGTCCCACCTTCTTCTGATAGTTCACTTGGCTCAGCAGATGCAGAGGGGCTGGCTTGTTCTTCTTCTAATTTCCTCTACAAGGTCTTCTCTTCGGACATCCACCTGGCCAGAATGAGGGAAGAATGTATGAACATATTCCACTTCAGTGCTCTCTAGGTGCCTACCTAGTTATCAGGTTTGGCTCTGCTGGGAGATTGGGACCTAGGCAGACACCCCAGACTGCTCCCTGGGGAAGTTAGAAAGACTACCGGTACTCTTTATGTGGGGACTGGAGATCTTATCCAACACCTTGACCACAGAAATAGATTAGGCCCTTAGAGCTTTTACAAGCTGGCTCACGTCTCACATGGGCAGGGGCCTAACAACGTAGCATACATTCCTTAGCCTTCCTGCCTTCCCCACTTACCTCTTCCCTGCTGGCCACTGAACGTAGCTTGATGACCCCGTCCTTGAGCTCCTGCTCACCGATTATGGCCACCAGTGGGATGCCTGCTTCCTCACAGTACTGCAACTGGTTCAGTAACTTTGGGTTCTTTTTGTAGAGCAGCTCAGCCTATAAGGGATCAGGATAGAAGATAAAAGCTGGCTTCTACTACCTTCAGGGACAACCTCCTGGGGGCCCAAGCTGGCACTTTGCTCTTAGCTCCACTCCAAGAAGTAGCACATTAATTTTTGTACAACACTAGGTTTGTACCTCGCACACTCAAACCTCCTGTTGTCATGGGGCTTGCCTCCTGTACCTTGATACCAGCATCCCACAGCTCTGAGACAAGCTTCAGTCTCTCTTCCAGTAGCTTCTTCTGTGCAGATGCCACAAGCACTTGTGTCTCTGTGGTCCGTACCTTCTCCTCTGAAGCCTAGAGAAAGAGCAAATAGAGAGCTGGGCTAAAACCATCAAAAAGCCAACTGAGAAGGCTATAGTCAGGATTCTGACAGATTACGTCCTGTTCAGTGAGCCCCAACAAGAGAGAAACCTGTCCTTACTTAGAAACTGGGTATAAGGTAGCTCTTAGGAGATGTAAGGTCAACTGAGAGCCTATAATCAATTACAGGCATGTAGTGGCACATGCCTGCAGTACCAGCACTTGGGAGACTGAGCAAGAGGATCACTGTGAGTTCAAGGCCAGCCTGGGCTACATAGTGAGACCCTGCCTAAAAAAAAAAAAAAAAAAAAAAAAAAAAAAAAAAAGCATAAAAAAAGAGTTAACTAGAACAGAACTAGCCAGAATAAGTAATCTAGGGGAAGAATACAGGCAGTTTATTTACATTCACTTTAAGTTCATCTTCATCCAGCAGGTTATGGGTCCACAAAAATATTCACATGCAAGTACTACTGTGAGCCAACCCTAGAAATCAAATCACCCTGGCATTCTAGTCTCCACCAACTACCTACTTGTCCATTCAGGAGCCCATGCCTTTCATGGGGCAGATCTCAAGGTACATAAGGATGGGGAGTAAGGGAGCATGCTGCTGGCGCCCCTTGACTTTTATGCCAATCTGTTTTCAAAGTTCTTACAATGTAAGGTGCCTAATGAAATGATGATGTCAGCTGAGAAGCTTGGGTGGTGTCCACTCTAGAGAAAAGGGACAAGAACATTGGGAAGGACACCAGAGCATTCATGAGGATGAAATGCAGCCAACCACTTAAGAGCAGTAGCAACACAGAAGGCTTTGAGATCATGCATTGTGGCCTTTCTTGATGTTAGTCAGGATGTTAGTCAAGGCAGCCATGGGGGACCCCAGGACTTGATGTATGCTTCCAACTGAGAGGCAGTATTACCAGAGTGGATAGGAGCCAAACACTGGACTTTACTACATAGATTTAATTCTGACTCTCTTAAAATCTCATGACCACGAGCAATAAAATGTTTAGTATTCTGTCATGAGAAAGATCTGGGTTTTGGATACAGCAGCCTACATTCCTGACAGCCCAGGGAAAGCAGGATTCCAGAGCATGAGATCTAGTGGAGAAAGAAAGATCAAAGATCTAAAAAACTGGCCTGTAATGGGGTAAGACTATAAGGACAGTGATCATCTCTTCTCTATTTCTCTGAGATGCTGCTTACAGCATCTTTTGCTCCCCTGTAGATCAGACAGCTGGGAGCCACCAACTGCTCAGACTGTCTTGAAGACCTACCTCCAGTCTCTGCTCCACGATGGAGAAGATTCGCTCCACTCCAATGCTGAGCCCCACACAGGGCACCTTGCGCCCTTTGGGATCGAACATGCCCACCAGCCCATCATAACGCCCTCCAGCAGCCACACTGCCCACACCCAGGGGCTCTTCCCCTGCCTGGGTTGGGGTCTGTAGCAGCACAGCTTCATAGATCACCCCAGTATAGTAGTCCAGACCTCGAGCAAGGCTCAGATCAAAGGAGATCTGTGGAGACAAGGACATGGTCAGTACCAGATTAAGATCAGAGACCTAATAGCACAGTCAGGCCAGACTCACACCTGCAACTTGACTCACCTTGTCAGCAATGCCAAACAAGGTCAGATACTCAAACAGCAGCTTCAGATCTCCCAGACCTCCCAAGGCCTGCTTGTTTTGAGACAGTTTAGGATCCTGGAGCAGCTGCTCCACCAGGGATACTCCACCTGGAAGACAGATTTGTAAGGCAAACCAATAAGGAGAAGATAAAGGCACATTGTCACCCAGACTGCAAGCATACATGCACATATGCACACATGCGCGTGCTCGTGTTTTAACATTAGGTCTGTGGCCAGCGCAGTGGCCACTGGGGAAGGAGCCTGGGTTCTGTTCCTCACCATGCTTCTGGACGTAGTCCCCAATGCGGTCAGCGACCTCGGGGTCAAGGCCCTTCTCTCCCACCATCTCATTCTTCACATCCTCCCAGGACACCTGGGCAGACAGAGGACAATGAAGAATTCCTGAGCAGCCTCCTAGCACAGAGCAAGTGTGGCCCCTCCTTGGGTAGCAGTCAGACCTGAAGTTGTCCTTTAACCTGGGGCTAATGTCTTCACGTGGACCTAGAGGCAAGTGCTTTTCTCACTCTTCTTTTCTTTTTTTATTTTGGTACTAAAGATTGAACTGAGGGCCTTTGCACTGAGCTAATATGCCCAGCCCCCATTTTGATGTTAGTATTATCAATATTTATTTTACTTTAAGAAAATCCCTCGAAGTTGCCAAGTTGTTCAAGAGGGTTGCCACCATCCTGCCTCAGCCTCACAGAGTACTGGATTTACAGAAATGCACTACTGTACCTGTCTTTTTTTTGAGATAGGGTCTTTCTAGGTAGCTTAGTGTGGCCTTAAACTCAGTATGTAACAGCCAGGCCTCAGACCTACAGGGATCCTCCTGCTTCAGCCTCCCAAGTGCTGGGATTACAAACATGTGCCACCATGCCCAGCTATATACTGCCTTGTTTTCTATTTCTCAAGGCAGGGTAGGATTTGGGAAGAATATAGTCCGGTATTTAATTACCTTGTCCAGCTTGTCCACTGAGGAACAGATGGTTCGGAACTTGCTGTCAGGAACACCACAGATGGCAAACATCCCATCTAGGATGCGCCTGTCGTTGACCTGTGGGACCCAAGGCATTATGAGGAGGGAATCTCTTTTATGGGATCGTCAATAACTTTTGGTATTTGTCCCTCTGCCAGACCTAATTTTGCCCTCCCAGCCTTGTTCAGCTCTGACCTTGACCAGGAAATCTCCTATCTGAAGTGAACCCAGGATCTCACACATGATCTTCAAGCACTCTGCATCAGGGATCATAGGATCAAATTGCCCAGCAATGTCAAAATCCTGCAAGGAAAAGGGGAACCAGAGTTTCTCGGGGGATCAATAGCTTTAAGGGGGGAACTTGAGAGCTCTGATGTTTTTAAAAAGGTCCGTTTGCACAGAGGAACAGACTTCCCCCTTCTTTTGCTGTCTGGCCATTAGCTCTGAGGAAAGGCCCAACATTCTTGGGCCTCCCGACCAGTCCTAATGTCCTCATCTGCTGGGCTGTTTTTCTTCATAATTTTTTTCTTCCCTAATTCCTTATACTGGATAGGACAGTTATCCAGTGTTAATCCTTAAGTTTTCTCTTCATCGTAAGTCCTCTTTTCAGTATCTTAAATCAAATTTCCCTTCCCTCTCCTGTGATCCTATCATTGTGATTTAACACAAAGAACACAACACAGATTGCCTGTCTAAGCTCTATGATCACCACATCTGCTAAACATCAAGTTATTCCTATAAAATGGAGAAAATCCCTCTCCTTCATACTCCACAAGGCCACTGAATATACATGAAAATACCACGGAAAACTGAAAGTATTTTCTGAACATCCAGTTTACTCAGAAAACTACAACATTCAATAGATTCCAGTAGCATGAAGGAGGGTCCATGTTACCCATGCTGTCCCCATCTCACCCCCAACTTTCCAGCACTCACACACTGGTAGAATTCCCGGTATCGGCCACGGGTCATGGCTGGGTTATCCCGCCGATACACTTTTGCTATATGGTAGCGTTTAATGTTGGTCAGTTTATTCATTGCCAAATACCGAGCAAAAGGAACCTGGTGACAGAGAGTTAAGGAGAACACCCCTCCTATAGCTGTTTGGAAG